TTTATTTTTTTAAATTTATTTTATTAATTTATTTTGATTTATCAACAATCACTTCCATATGCTTTTGAGTTTAAAATTTTTCTCCTCCTTCTTCCCCACCACCCTCCCCAAGATGTTGCACAATCTGATATAGGCTATACATTTACACTCCTATTAAACATATTTTCTGATTAGTGAAGTTGTAAGTAAAAACTAAAACCAATAGGAGGAACCATCAGAAAGAGGAGATAAAACTCAACAGAAGAGAAAAAAATAGATAGCGATTCATCTTCCATAGTTCTTTCTTTGGATGGGGATAGCATTTTCCATCATTAGGCTTCTGGAGATGTCTTAGATCCTTGTATTGCTTTTTATGTCTTTCTTGAATCTTGTACTTGAAGATCAAATTTTTTTGTTGAGCTCTGGTCTTTTTATCAGGAAGGTTTGGAAGTCCCCTATTTCATTGAATATCCATCTCCTCCCTTGAAAAATCATGCTCATTTTTGCAGGGTAGTTGATCCTTAGCTGCAATCCAAGCTCCTTTGTCTTACGGAATATCATGTTCCACGCCCTGTGATCTTTAAAGGTAGAAGCTTCAAGGTCCTGTGTAAACCTGACTGTGGTTCCATGATATTTAAAATATTTCTTTCTGGCTGCTTGCAGCACCTTCTCTTTCATCTGGTAATTTTGGAATTTTGCTATTATGTTCCTTGGCGTTGTCAATTTGGGATCTCAGGTGGTGAGTGGTGTATTCTTTCTATTGTTATTTCACCTTCTGGTTCTAGGACTTCTGGGCAGTTTTCCTTTATGATTTCCTGCAAGATACTGTCCAGGCTCTTTTTTTCATCATGATTTTGCAGGTAGTCCAATAATTTTTAAATTGTCTCTCCTGGATTGATTTTCCAGGTCAGTTATTTTACCGATGAGGTATTTTACGTTTTCATCTATTTTTCATTTTTTTTTTGGTTTTTGTTTGACTGATTCTTGCTGTCTCATAGAGTCATTAGTTTCCATTTGTCCAATTCTAGTTTTTAACAGATTGTTTCTTCTGTTAGTTTTTGTACTCTTCTCAATTGGCCAATTGTTTTTAGGGATTTTTTCTTCAGTGTACTTTTTTTCCAGTTTGCCAATTGTGTTTTTTAAGGACTCTTCTACCTCTCTCATTAGACTTTTAAAATTCTTCTTGAGCTCTTCTAAGAAGGCTTTTTGGGCTTCAGACCAGTTCATATTCCCTTTTGATGTTGTAGATGTGGATTTGTTGACAATGTTGTCCTCTTCAGAATTTCTGTCTTGATCTTCACTCTTCTCATAATATGAATCTATGGTACATTTCCTTTTACTCATGGTTTCTTTATTCCCTGAACTTTAAAGAGATTGAGCTCTCTTTCTGGGGAACAGAGGGCACTGACCCAAGCTTCATGTGTTGGGAACCTAGGTCTTGGTCACTGGCTTTGTGTGCTGGGGCCTCTTATGTTGGCAATTGGAGGCTGTAGAGGCAGCTTACCTCGTGTTGGGCTGGAATCAGCAAGGCTGGAACTTTCAGGCAATTCTATGTTGCCTTTTTTTCCTTTCCTTTAGCTTTCTTTAGCTCCTTTTAGATGGGTGCTGCAGGGTGTTTATCTGCCTGGGGCCCCTTGCAATGCTGCCTCCCTCATTTCTGGTAATGCACTGGGAAATTCCTTTGAGGTAGAGTGCTGAGGCACCTGGTGGTTTTCTGAGCTGGTTTCCACTGGTTCCCTCGCCCTCACTGAGGCACTCAGATGTCCAGGTGTTGGTGTTTGCCTGCTCTACCACCAGGGCTTCAGGATATCCTCCTGGTTGACAGTTGGAGGCTGTAGGGTTCTGACAGCTTACCTGGTCTTGGGTTGGAATCAGCAAGGCTGGGATGTTAGGAAGACTGTAGATTTCTTTCTTCAGCTCCTTTCAGATGAATGCTGCAGGGTGCTTATCCGCCTGGGGCCCTTTGTAGTGCTGCTTCCCTTATTTTTGCTGAGGCACTGGGAGACCCGTTTGCTGGGCTGCTGCAATGCTGTTCCCTGTCTTTCTTCTACTTCAGCTGTTCCAGGGTTTTTTTTTTTTCTGGGGTGATATTTTCTGGATTTTCAGAGGTTGATAGGGGAGGGTGAGAGCAACTACCTTTTTACTCTGCCATCTTGGCTCCCGGAAGCAGAAGTCCACCGATTACTTCTTAGAAGGAACTTCTGGGATTCCTTTTGAAAACCTAGCTATATTATTGCCTTGGATATGAACACAGATCTGGGATGAGTAGCAAAAAGTGCTAAGGTAGTTTATTTGGCTGCCATGGGGAAAGTAGACCAGCAAAGAATATGAGAAGGCTGGGATCCATTCTATGCTTATTTACAAAATTGTCCCATTGCAATCATCTTCTCTGACTTGGGCTCAAAGACAAATAGAAGGTCAGAGTTGAAAGTAGCCTTAAATATGGTCTAATCCAACTGTTTTATTGGACAGATCAGGAAACCAAAACCTACAGATTGGAAGTGAACTGTCCAATATCACACAATTAGTGTCAGAGCCAGGACCAGAACTTAAGTTACCTTAGTTCAGACTCTTGTCACCTACGTTATGGCAGCAGCCTCCTATTCTGTCTCCCCACCTCAAATCTCTCCCCACTCCAGTCCATCCTTCACATAGCTGTCAAAGTGACATTTCTTATGTGTAAGTCTAACCATGTTACTCCCCTATTCAATCAACTCCAGTGGCTTCCTGTTGCCTCTAGGATCAAATATATACTTCTCTGTTTAACTTTTAAAGCCCTTCACAACCTGGCCCCAACCTAGGAATTCAGCCAAATAAGCTTCTTTCAGTTTCTCCCTCCTGACACTCTATTTCCTATCTCCATGGCACTGGCTGTACCCCAAACCTGGAATGTAGTCCCTCCTTATGTTGGACTCATGGAAGTCTTCTCTTTATTGCAAGACTCAACTCAAATGCTGTCTTGCCTGCCTTGCCTGATTCCCCCACCCAAACTCTAGTGCCTTCTCTCCCCAGTGATCTTGTCTTTAATGTCTTTGTACTCATTCTTTTTTTATATTTATTTTTCATGTACTTAATATATGCTCTTATGGTCTCTTCTGTTAGAATGTAAGCTCCTTAAGGGCAGGGATAGTTCCATTCTTTGTGTTCATATCCCTAGAGCCTAATACTGTGCCTGACACACAGCAAGTGCTTAATAAATGCTTGTTTGCTTGATTAGGTCTCCTAATTTCTAGCTGAGTTCTCCTTCTTCTACAATATACTGAATCATATATATTTTTTAAACTCCTCACTTTCATTCTTCTGCTAAGAAAAAAGCATGTACTTGCATGGACCTGCACACGTATAGATATATTGTACAAAATATCCCGATGTTCCAGGGACTTTGCCTCCTGTGTGACTAGGATGTAGATCTCTCCATGAAGGCACTCTTCATGGTCTAGGCATTAGAGGAAGTACCACTGGGATGCCTACCTGCCTTCTTCATTAGTTGCCTCCTGTTGTTGGTAACTTGGGAGCCCATTCTGCCATTCCTTTGGGAAGGATGGGTAGATTCTGTCCAACAGAGCAGTGTCCCTAAATGGCCTGTGACTCCCTTCTGGGGAAAGCAGTGACATGCAGAGCCTTCCAGGTGTTGTTACCATTGATGGGGAAAAAGAGAGAAAAGAAAAGATTCAGGTAAGATGGAACCTACCTGGCTCAGTAAGATGATAGGGCACCATGAATAATGGAAGGAAAATTGAGGCCTCCCAGACACAGGAGCCTGGCAGATCACTTGGTCTCCTCCAAGACTCCCCAAGGGGACCCTAAGTAGGGAGAATCATTTTTCAAGAGGCCCCCACAGCAGGAATGCTGGGGTAGCTCAGGGATGTAAGACCTGGAGCTTTTCCTTATAGGTTGATTTTTTTAATATCCCCTGGGGCTCTCAGGGGTTAGTGACTTTTCAAAGACAGCATGCCCAGTTTATGACCATTGTTTTTTTGTGTGTGCTTGGGGGTAGGGATGGGAGTGACTCACTGACTCTCATTCACTATGAGGGAAAGCCAAATTAACTGGGAGAGGGGAAAAGGGGAAGGATTGCCATCACTTATCTGAGCCTTAGTCAGGTAGGAAGGAAGCATTTATTAAGTATCAACTATGTCCCAGGCACTGTGCAAAATGCTTTTACTATATTTTCTTACTTGATCTTCATAAAGAACAGCCTTTCATAGAAAGAATGGCAACTTTGAATTCTAGGGAAGCATGAACCATAGGTGTCTACGGTGTCATAGTGTGGTGCTGTGGCCTTGGAATCAGAGGACCTGAATTCCAACCCAGTGTTTGTCACTTAATGCCTGTGGGCTTAACATTTCTGAGCCTCAGTTTCCTCATCTGCAAAACGAGGAGGTTGGCCTCTAAGGTCCGTTCCAGCTCTAAACCTAGGATGCCATGATCCTACCCATGACTCATTTTCAGAAGGAGCTAAGAGGGGGTCAGTGAGCAATCGATGCCAGGGGCTCTATAATTTAATTCGGCCAAAGGGCAGAAGGGTCAGGGAGAAGGAAAGGAAAAGGGGAGTAAGAAATTACAGTCAGCCCTGTGCACTGATGAATAAATGATGATGCCCTAAAGGAGAAACCCCAGAGGCAGCTTGAGATAGAGGAGGAGGAGCAGGTTGAAGAGATCTAAGGAGGAGGGGGAAGTGGGGGAGGAGGTGTGGGAAGGCCAGAGATAAAAACCCAGAGACAACTGGTAGCTAGTGAAGTAAACCATCACTGTGTGGTGATGGTGCTAGGGGTGGGAGAAGTAGCTTTGTTGGAGAAAGCACAGGAGATTGGAGATAGGGAGCAAGGGCAAGAAAGAGAAGAAGCCCCAGAAAGACCCCAGATTGGTGCCTCTCTCCAGAACTAGGAGGATGAGGTATAGAAGGGAATTCTAAGATCAGAAAGAACATAGTCAAAGAACTAGGGGGTGAAAGGAAGGTGAGAGCAGCTGAGCAACGAAGATCCAGGGCCAGAGCCACCTGGAAATAGTAAGCTGGCAAAATGATGCCCCAGAGAAAGAAAAGGAAGAAAGATATTGACTTCTTAGCTCTGTATGAGGAGGAGCTGCTGAACTACGAATCCGAAGATGAAGAGGAGCTAGAACATGATTACTACAAGACCAGAGGTGAGTCCCTACAGGGTGAGGAGAGAGGGAGTCGACAACAGATGCAATAGGCTCTGTGCTTTTGTACGGGGCACTGGAGTTACCAAAGCACTTCCCTGCCATCTTGTTTAAGCCTAACTGGTCAGGGAGAGTTGTAAGCTGTGTTTTACAGCGGAGACCTAGAGAAGTGGCCAGTGATCATGGCATGGGTTAGTCCAAGGACTGGGAGCAGAAATCTGTTTCTCTTTAGATTACCCCACATTACTCAGATATTACTAAGAGTAGGCAGCTGCCTAGGGTAGGACTTCCAGGGAGTGTGAAGGACATTTTTTAGTATGAATTTCTAAAAAACATTCAAATATTTATACTGTCAGAAAATCCTACCTTCCATTTGTTGCTGTTGTTCAATGGTGCAGTTGTGTCCAACTCTCCTTGTCCCCATGGATGTAGCACACCAGGACCTTCTATATGCGTTACTGACATCCTTTCCACAGGGTTTCTTGGCAAAGATATTGGAGTGGTCTGCCATTTCCTTCTCCAGTGGATCACCGTTTGTCAGAATTCTCCACGATGACCTGTCCATCTTGGGTAACTGTGCCTGGCAAAGCTCATAGTTTCATTGAGCTGCACAAGCACCTCCTCCCATGACAAGATAGTGATCCAGGAGGGGCCACTTTCCATGGCATGTAATTATTCAATTTGTGAGAAAAGGCTTAAAGTCTTTGGTGGGTACTTTGGGTGGGGCAGGGAGGAGAAATGCATTTTTTTTTAATTCAGGGGATGCATCCCCACTGCATCTGGGGTCATCGTCTGTTGTCCTGATCTCTATCTGGCCACTGGACCCAGATGGCTCCAGAGGAGAAAATGAGTCTGGTGACTTTGCACAGCCCTGCCTCACTTCAGTCCAATTCACTTGATGTCATGGCATTGCCTTCCCAGTGTCATGGTCCTCTTTCAGAACTAAGGACAAACAACAACAAATCCCAGCTCTCTTTCAAGAGCCAGTTGAAGTCCCAACTAATCCATGCAGGTTTGTCATTGAACACATAGCCCAGCACTGGAGTCTGCCTTGTCTCTTTCTCCATAAATTTTAAGGTTCACAAAGCATTTTCCTCACAGCAACCTCATTGCCTTGTCTTCTTGATCTGATTATGATCTTTTTTTTTTGTAGTGAAGATCAAACTAGTTCTGTCCAACCCCTATAGCACCCCAACAGCTTCCCCTCAAGAGCTTAGCATACTTCAGTATTCCATGCCCCACCTTCTTCCCTTTCTTTAACCTTCTCTTTAGAGGTGGGGTTTCACATTAGTTATTATCAGCCATTGAAACCCCAGTGTGAATGAGTTCATTAGGTCCTCTTCTTAGAGCAGGTTTTGATAGGGACAAGACTATAGATATTAGGAACATAAGCAGCTTGGGGAAGCTTGGGGAAGGGGTGAGGGGAGAAGGAAGAAGAAAAAGGAGGCTGGAAGTACTAAATATGAATTTCTTTGACTTCACAATTTTGTTACCAGCTGGTCTTGATTATAATGGCCAATCTATTTTCATGATTTGAGAAAGAAAAAAAAACCCTCTCATATCCCTTAGTCAGTGCTAAAAAGAGCTATTTCAAAGAAAACAGATTCCTTTGTGAAGGGACTGTCTCCCCCACCGTGGACGTCTTCAAGTACAAGCTAGATGAGCACTTGTCTGGCAGGTTGTACAGGTGATGCTTACTCAGGTAGGACCGAGGATAACTCAGTTCCACTGGGGGCTGGCCTAGACAGCTGCTGAGGTTACTGCCAACTTTGGAGTGTCTGTGATTACATGGTTCCCAATGAGTGGAAGTTGGTTTACTGTAAGGAAAACCTTCCTAATGAGTAGAGCTCTCCCAACATGGAAAGGGCTGCCTTGGGAGGGAGCAGCTTCAGGGATGATAAGGTATCTTCCAGGTACTTGCCCGAGGTCTCAGAGCAAGGGTTGCAATGCCTCTTTCTCATGGGGGCATGTTGTAGATCAGAGCTACATGTTTGGTGGACCAGGTAGCCTGTGAGATTCCTTCCATTGCTGAAATTCTGCAATCCTGTGAAATAATCAACCAAGAGCATTGACTGAGTAGCTACTGTATGCCTAGGATGTGCTAAACACAACCAGGGATACAAAAGTAGCATGATCCCATTTTCTTAAATGGGATCCCAGTTTCTTCTTGGGAGGAAAAGGAATCCTCCGGTGTCCCTAAAATCACCCACTTGCATAAGGTCACACAGGTAGCCAGTTAGAGGCAGAGCCAAGAAACTAGAAGCCAGGGCTCTAGATACCTACCTCAGTATCTTTATGATATTGGGCTGCATCCAATGAAAGCCAGTGCTTTCCATTTGCAGAGAACAAAGCATTATAGGAAAAAATCCTATGTTAAACTTGTATCATAGGCATGCAATGAAAAAAAAATATGATAAGTAACCGTGTGCCTTACTTTAAAAAGTAGGAGGAAGCTGTGATGCAGTGGGGGGAAAAAAAAGCATTGACTCATAGAGCAGGAGTTCTCAACCTGGGATCCATAATCTTGTTTTTAAAGATATTTTGAGAATCACAGTTCAATATAATGGGTTTCCTTTGTAATCCTATATATATATATATATATATACATATATGTACATATGTGTGTGTGTGTGTGTGTATTGCATGTAAAATATTATTGTGAGGAGTCCCTAAACTTCCCCAGACTGCCAAAGGATCTATGCCACAGAAATAGTTAAAAAACTCTGGTCAGAGGACCTGGACTCAGATACCATCTGAAGATTACTAACTGTATGATCTTGGACAAGTCTTTTATCCACTTTGGGCCTTAATTTCTTCATCTGTAAAACGAGGAGCTTACACTAACTGGTCTCTAAGGATCCTTCTAGTTATAGGTCTCTGATGCCATCATCCTGAGCTCTTTAAGCTTTCCCAAATCTCCCTTCTCAAAAACGACCTTTTATTTCCTATGCACATACTTCGTATTGACTGGTTTGTTTACTTGTTTCTCCCACAATTGAATTAAGTTCCTTTAGGATAGGGAATGCTGTTTTGTCTTTGTATCCCTAGCATCTAGCACAATGTCTGACGTGTTGTTATTGTTGTTCAGTCACGTCCAACTCTTCGTGACCCCATGCACCCTACTGTTTGTCCATGGGATTTTCCTGGCAAACATACTGGAGTGGGTTGTCATTTTCCTTTCCAGTGGATTAAGGCAAACAAAAGTTAAGTGACTTGATCAGGGTCACACAGCTAGTGAGTGTCTGAGGCCAAATTTGAACTCAGATCTTCCTGACTCCAGGCCCTGCTCTCTACCCACTGAGCCACCTAGCTGCTTGTTAAATTGAATTAAATTGGTACAGTTAGATGGTGTAGTAGATAGGGTGCTAGACCTGGGATCAGAAAGATGTGAGTTCAGATCCTGCTTTAGACACTTACAAGCTGTATGACCCTTGGCAAGTCACTTAAATTTTATCTGCCTCAGTTTTTCATGTGTAAAACTGAAGTAATAATAGCACTACTTCTCAGGGTTATTGTGAGGATAAAGTGAAAGTTATTAACAATAACAATTTCAACAATAATAATAGCCAAATTTACATAGCACCTTTAAGGTTTTCAAAGCACTTTACAAGTATTATTTTGTTTGATCTTTACTTTAGTTATCCCATTATTAGACTTCCCCATAGTCACAAAGCTCATTAATATTAAGAACGGATTCGAATCCATATTTTATTTAACTTCAAGTCCGGGACTCTGGCCACTATAACTTTCTGCAATTCTCCTTACCTTAGGTCCCTCTCAACTTTTCTCTTTTCCAGGATAAACATCCCGAGTTCCTCCAACTGCCCCATGTAGGACATGGTCTTGAGGCCCTTCACCATTCTGGTTGTCCTCCTCTGGACACATTCTAACTTTTAAGTATATTTTCTAAGGTTTAGCACCTAGAACTGAAAATAATATCCCAGACATGAACTGAGTGGAGAAGAATGCAGTTGGTTTCTTACCTCCTTTATTCTTGACATAATACCCTTTATATTGTCATTATTGTTATTGTTATTGTTTTTAGTGTTACTGCCACATTGTGAGGTTGACTCATATTGAGTTTGGGGTTTATCTCCTCCACTGTTTTGGTTTTTTTTTTCTGGTGAGGCCACCACAGTTAAGTGACTTTGCCCAGGGTCACACAGCTAAGTGTCAAGTGTCCGAGGCCGGATTTGAACTCAGATCCTCCTGACTCCAGGACCAGTACTCCATCCATTGTGTCACTAGCCCTCAAGATTTTTAAAACATGAACTATTCAATCTAACCAGAACACCCCTTACCTTATATTTGTAAAGTTGTTTGTTTGTTTTTGCAATTGGGATTAAGTGACTTGCCCAGGGTCACACAGCTAGTAAATGTTAAGTGTTTGGTCTGAGGCCAAATTTCAACTCAGTTCCTCCTGATTACAGGGCCAGTGCTCTATGCACTGAAGTTGATTTTTTTAAAACCCGCGTGTAAGTTTTGTCATTTAATATGGCCAGTCATTCTAGTCTGTTAATGCATCTTTTTGGATCCTGAGTATAATCCAACATGTTAGTTAACTTTGTGGCATCTGTGAATTTGACAAGCATGTTGACTATGTTTTCATCCAAGTCACTGATAAAGAATGTTAAACAGCTCATGGCCAAGGACAGATCTCTGGAGACATTCCACCAGAGAACTCCTTCCAAGTTTCTATTGAGTCGTTAATGATTACATTTTGAGTCTGGTTATTCAGCTATTCCCAAGTCTACCTAACAGCATAACTGCCTAGTCTGCATTGCTCCATCTTATCCTTGAGGATACCAGGAGAGATTTAATCAAGGCTTTGATGGAATCTATATATACACTTTATCTATAATGTTCCCTTGATCTACTAGTCTAGTAACCCTGTCATAAAGAAAATGAAGTTAGTCTGGTATAATCTATTCTTGAAGCCTCATTGGCTCTTGGTGATCACTGTCTCTAAATGCTCACCAATTATCCTTTTAATAATAGAATCT